AACACAACATTGTGGTGGGTTTTCCCAGGCCAGCCCCTCCAGCAAGTGTAGGGAAATGGGTCACAACTTCACATGCCCGCTCACTGCTGGCAGCGCCTCATAGATGGAGGAGAATGTAGGGCAGCAAGTCACTGTTTCTGCCCCGTCTCTCTCCCATCCACTCGTGGCTCTAGCGGTGGCTTTCCCTCCAGCTCTTGTCACTTTCTCGCACTCAAGTGAAGTTTCAAACTATTTTGGGTCCGTTGCACTCGAGGTAATATCATGCGCGCCATCTCCGGGATGACTGATTGTGTTTCAGTCTGCCCTTCGGTTTGCCAAAGTCATCCCGTGTAATATAGATGTCCAAACACAGCGCTTGTGCACAATGTGATGTGAACATCATCTATCATTTACATCTCGCAGTTACACGGTGTGTTAACGTCAGCCTCTGTTGTGTCTCCGCTCTGTGCAGATATCCGCTGTCCTTTCTGCTCAAAGCCCTTCCCGGGGGGTCGTATCGAGGATCACCTGTTGAGCTGCCTCACCTCTCCTCCCCTACCTTACAATAGTAAGTATCATGTCACAGAAAAAAGGTCCGAACGGCTGTGTTTTTTTAAAACAGCTGGAAACACTTATGGTTGCTTTGTGTGTGTGTGTGTGTGTACAGCGGACGTGCTCAGTAAAGACAGCGGAGAGTGCTCCATCTGTCTGGAGGATCTGGTACAGGGAGAGACCATCGCCAGGCTGGCTTGCCTCTGCGTCTACCACAAGAGGTAAGAAAGTTCCGTTGGTGTAATTTGCATTATAATGACATCCAGCCGGATACAAATGTAAGGAGGAGGGTTTAAATAGAAATATGCAAATTAGCACAGGTTACATTAAAAACCGACGTTGAGCATTTATTTGGCTATTTCCAGATCTGAAAACCAATTGGACATATCACTACACATCTCTGACAATAAGAGACCCATCAAACGTGATCTTGACAACCACAGCTGTCGTTAAGAATCATTATTTTGGACAAGAGTGGAAATCTGTTCACTTTATGTAGGAAAAGAAAAAGCCCAACAGCGTGTTTCTGTCCTCTAACCATTTATTTTCTAAGTAAACACTGTGAATATTTTCCACTCAAGGTTTCATGAGTGTGAAAATGAGTGCATCGTTACATTTTAATAAGATCTAATTACAGATATACCAGATGAAAGTCTTTGAAAGTGTTTTTGAAGCTTGTAGGAAAAAGAAAATAACCATGAAGTTGTGAAAGTGTTTATGCGTGTGTCAGCCCATTTACTACTAATTCTCATTTTCAAAGTGCGCTGTAATTGTGGTGTCTCACAACTTCCAGGGAACCATTAGTTTCCCATAATTTCATCACAGTATGAGACTGGACTTGCTGGGACTTGAAATGTACCAAGATTGGTTGTTTAATTGTAGTGAAGTTCCTGCCTGCTATTTAGTTTGTCATCATTTATGTGTTCAAGCTGTTTTAAAGTGAGTTTCAACATCAATTAATCTCAGATAAAGCACACGTCTTTTGTTTTGTTCATAGTGGAAGAAGTTTGTACCACGGTTTGCAGGTGTGGCTGTTTGGCTGCGTGACATTCTGATCCACCCAGCCGAGCAAATGAGATTTGAGGGGGGAAAAAAGCCTTGAATTTTAAGAATCGAAAAGATTACAGGGTTGGAAATAATCATACAGTACATACACAAGCTTTTTTAAACAGAGGAATTCATGTCTTAGTCTTGGACTGCAACTAATTATTATTGACATTATTTATTAATCTGCAAGCTATTCTATTGATTGGTCTATTAATCATTTGGTTTGTAAAGTGAAATGTGAGGAAAGTGCATCGCAATCCGCCAGGACCTCAACACGATGTCTTCATTCAGTTCGATCGATCAATTAACCCAAACGTGCTGCAGTAAACGATCACAACTGAGAAGCTGCTGCTTGTAAATGTTTCTTGAAAAATTTCTTTAAATGATCAATGGGGTGAAAGTAGTTGCAGATTGTTTTATCTGATGATCAACCACTCGATGTAGACTCGTTGTTTCAGATCTATATTAGCGATGGAGGCAGATAAAAAGAAGCACTAGCCCACCACACTTCTCACATTTAAAGCGTGTTCACTTCCCGCTACAGTGATTACATTTAGTTTGGTTTCACTGTCAGTAAGTGTATTAAGCCTTAAAACCCACCAAATAGGTTTTTACCTCATTAACGTGAGCAAATTAAAAAATGTAATGTCTTTATGTCTCCAACCTCATCTGTGTTCTTTCTCCCTGCAGCTGCATTGATTCCTGGTCCAAGGTGAAACCCTGCTGCCCCGAACACCCCTTCGATTGACTCACGGGTCACATGTATTCTGCTCAGTGACCAACCCGACTCAGGTACGTACTTGTGAGATTCACTAAATGAGCAGGACATCCAGTTAGCTTCATTATCGGGCACAACAACGCTGCTGTTGAGATACATAAGTTTGTGAGAAGGGTCAAATAAACCAGAATGTACTGGAGTCACTGGAGCAGATTATGGTTGTAGTTTTCTGTACCAACACACAGAAAAACTAACCAAGCCACGAGGAGAATTGTGATGCATTTAATAAACGTGGAATCGGCGAGTTAAATCATATACAGAACACACACATAATCAGTATCCAACATTAGCTAATAATCAACTCATTGCTTAGGGCTGGGTGTCAATACAGTAACTACATTTTAGTTATTGAAATGTTAATCTTTGCTTTATTTGTTTAATGTAATTAAAGAAGCTAGAACAGAACACAAAGTTAACAGTTTGATTAACAAGAGTACAAAATCGTACATTTCACACCAGTTTTCAGTTTTGTGTGTGTGTGTGTGTGTGTGTGTGTGTGTATTTCATATAATTAATTATGCTGAAGAATGTTGTTAATGTGTTTATTTCAACCCTATTTCAGACTATATTTCAGTACAGCCATTACAGTATATATTTGTCTAACGACCGCTCTGTCTTCTTCCGCCCTTACAGGAGACTACACTGAATCCCAATAAAATCCCAATAAAAGAAAACATGTAATTGAACAAGTAACAGCCCTCTGTCCCTCTCAGACACAAACCGATATTTGAGTGGAGAACAGACGATCCCAAGAGGAAGCTCCAGTTAGCGACACCCGACACTCTCCGCTTGGATCGGTCCATTTGAATTTGCCCTCTGCAATTTCAAGCCAAACTCCAACAGTAAAACAAAAACAAAACAGTGGCTCCGTCTAATCTCTGGTCAAGACCCTTTTTTTTTTTTTTTGGAACAGAAGCGGAGGAGGTTCCCTTTCTATGTTACGGACTTGGCCCTGACTCCGCGGAACATTTAAAAAAAATCTAACAAACATCATCATCATCCCAGAACGGTGGATTTTCCCCCCGAAAGATCTTTAACTTGGGGAGGAAACACGACAAAAAAAATTGTTTAACTGTGACTCTGGGTCCTCTCCTGTGTATTTCTTTCTCCCTGCAGATGGGATTGGTCATTTTATCAAGTATTTTGTTCCACGTCATACATCGGATGAATGTTTTCGTTCCTCGGCTAACCCCAAATGACCCAACCTCACACTGAAAGCGTGAACTGTTACCGTGTAAACATTTGCTTTATTTTGAACCAGCTGGAGGTTGAGGGCTTTTTTTTTTTTTTTTTTTGGTGAATGGGGGCTGCCGTTACTAGGTTTTTTTTTTTTTTTTTTATAACTTGTAAACATTTCAGGGGAAGTTTTGGGGGCTAATTGTTTTCATGAGTAGGTCAGTTTTCTTGTAGGTGGTTAGTTAGCTCTGAGTTTAATGTGCTGCTACTTGCTGAGTGTTTTTAGGAAGGTTGTAGGTATTTCATAGGGCCATAGTAGCGCCGGTGTTTGCACCAATTTCAGCACTTTTGTCCTCCAAGGCTGATTTTTTTTTTTTTTTTTTTTCCCGTTTTTTTTTTTGTGTGTGTGTGTGTGTGTGTGTGTGTGTGTGTGTGTGTGTGTGTGTGTGTGTGTGTGTGTGTGTGTGTGTGTGTGTGTGTGTGTGTGTGTGTGTGTGTGTGTGTGAGATGACCAGGGGCAGGATAATGTCCTGAGCATGACTGACAGTGTGTAGCTTTGTGTGTGTTTACTGTAAATGGCCCAGAAGTCTGCTTGGTCAAGCGGGTTACCCCCTTTGTGTTTTTTTTGTTTTTTTTAATGCTAGTTTTTTTTAACTAGTCACTCTGACAAACATCCTGTTACATGTGGCATTGGTACGCAACATGGCGGCTCATGTGGTCCAGCTGTACTTTTGAATGCGGTTTGGGTTTTTTTTCAGTCCCGTCACCCCCCTCTTCCTCTCTCCTCATTCTCAAAACACTCTCTCTGGGGTGGTAGGGGGGGTTGTGTAGTCCGGATTTTTTGGACCAGACCCCAAGAGACAGTTTTGGGCCATCTGGTTCCATCGGTGCCAGATCGAGGAGGGATAAAGGGACGGATGGACTGAGGGATGTATTTTTGGGAGCATGTTTACACCATGTGGCATCTGTCTCTCTTTCCAGCACTAGAGGCTATGGACAGCTGATGGTTAATTATTACATAACTAGCCCCCACCCCTTACCCCCCATATTTTTTTTTAAAGGTTTTTTAGATATTATATCATCACATTATGATCATGATTATTCTTAAATATGTTAAATGGCTTTCCTTTGCCTTTTCCGTGTGATTGCCTTTGCCTGGTGAAGGGGTTCTTGTGCAAGCAGCTATTTGTAGTGTTTTGTTGTTGTTGTTGTTTTTTTTTAGGGCTGAAGTGAGGTGGAAGCACAACAGTTAAGGCTGCTCAACAGATGCTGTCTGGTGCAGACTGTACTGTACATAGGCCAGGATAAAGTGGGGAAAGAACAAAAACATGAATTGATTGCTCTCGCTGCCTGCTCAAAAGGCGAGCCTGTTCCATGTGTTTTAATCTCCGTGCTTACAAGCGCTATGGATCGGTTTAGAGGGCAGCCCAGTGCACAGGTTTCCTACCGGCTAGTTTGTTCACCCCAGCCTCTTTTTTTTGTTTGTTTTTTTCCCCACCATCCCCCTTTTCTGTTCTGGCATTCTGCAGTCTGAGGTGCTATGACTTGTCCCGCCACTAGAGGGCAGCCCTGTGCATGTTTTTGTCATTTTTTTTGTAATGGTGAGTAGAAAAATAATGCCAAAATGTGTGTGTGTGTGTGTGTGTGTGTGTGTGGCGGGCATTGTGTGAGAGAGTGCGGGAGACGAGCTGCATTGATCACTAGATGTTACATTTGTTGTGGTGATAAGTTATGATGATGATGTATACTTTGGCTGGGAAGGGGTGGGGGTGATTGTGTGTGTGTGTGTGTGTTTGATGGGGGAGTTGCAGGTGGTGGTTGGGTTGTCGATAAAGATAATAGACAATCTGAAACCCCACATTACTCTTACGTACTTTCTTACCCCCTCTAAGCTGTGTGGTGCAATACCTCAATTTCTACCAATGCTAACTAAACGCTCTCCGTGTGTAAACTAGCTTTTCTCCAACCAAGGACGGTATTTTGTATAAATGTCCCTAAATCTCTTGGTTTTGAATCACAGGGCACTGATCCCCTTGCGTGCCCTGTGCTTTGAGGCCGATGTATTAGATGAGAATGTTTTTCAAAGAGTCACCACAGCGGTATCTGCATCCCCCAAGATATGGACAATCTGCCTTTACTCTGGTATAAAAACAAATTGAATTTTATTTATTAAATTGTAAATATGTAATGCAATTCAAGAAAATGGCTTGGTCTTTGTCTGTTCAATATACTGTTTCTAAGCTCCAATCTTTTGTATGTCTCAGAAATTGTTTTTTATATGTATTTTTTACAATAAATATGTGTGAGAGATGTTTTGTGAATGTCTGTTTTGTGTTTTTTAAGTGTTAATGATGTGTTTGTGGTTGTTTGTGCTGTTCAGTGAGACCTAAAACAGGGACACGCCGTCCTGAAGAGTTTTAATTTAATGAAAGAATTTAAATTACTAAATTACAGAACATTACATTTAAACTAACTACTTTTAAAATAACCGCATCGTATTTGATTTATTTAGTAATTAACACCTTACATTTGGTTCCCTCTATAGTTCAGGTTAAGGCTAATCCTTCTTTCCTCCCTTTAACTATTAATACGGAAATTAAGCTGTAAAGATATGATTACAAATTTTGTAAATGTGAGCTTTAATTCTGTTCCAGAGGTAATTTTCGTTCATCTCAGCCTGATACCGCAATCAGACTCGATTGCCATTCAGTTACACTTTCAGTTTGAATTTCTGAAAACAATCTTGAGATGTGGGAAATGACTCAGAGGTCTGTAAACAGGTTATACACATCTCACTGCAATTTAAAAATCTGCCTGGTAGCAGCTTCCAATGGTTCTTAATCATGTTCACTATCAACTACTCCCAGAGTTCACATATACTTGTGATGTGTCCTAAATTGTTTCCCACTTAGGAGCAAGTAAAAAGGTGACTATGAACAATGAAACATACACAAGCACAATTTATATGTATACTTTAATTGTACTCTAGTCTGCACAGTCAGATTTTGTTGTGGACCCTGTAGGACTGATATGATCTGATATATAAGGACACCTAGAAGTCCCCATACCTCACTTTGATGTCTTCTCAACGCCTGTGAAGCAACCTTGGAGTTACCAATTTCTGCAATATGGGGCCTTACATACAGGAATTTTTTTTCTTCACTTCATGATGACAGGAAGTAAAATGCCACAGGTGGTTTGAATAAATGACACCCGTCACCCAACAAGGAATGCTTTTTGTGTCGTCTCCTTCTCACGCAGCACAGTGTGTGGTGTTGGACTATTGTTCTCTATAATCTGCTGTAATCCCGCAGAAAAGGTAAGCAGAACATTCACTTTATTTGTTATTATTGTAAGAACTCAACTTGTTCTGTGAGTAAAGTAAAAGAAAATATGCTAATGTGTTCTCTACTGCATTTTTATGTGTTTGTAGTATTTACTAGTATTTTCAACAAAACATTATGTTTGTAAGTGTCTTATTATTAAGTATTATTACATATTTACTTCCACTATTATCTACTGCTGCAGAAACTGATATTCATGTGGTCTAAAACAGAATACCACTATGGGAACACCAGATTTCTCTGTGTGAGCTGTGTGATTTTGTGGTAAAGTATTATAATTCAAAGGGAAGCAGGTGCAGCAAGTATAACTGCATGAATGGATCTTTAAAGCTTATTTTAATTGCATTAATTTTAGTTAATTCATCAGCGGAGGAAGAAAAATAACTTTTTACTGAACATTTTCTTCAGAGTTTAATGCTCAAAAATGAAGTCGGTCTACGTAACATCGCTGACATCTTTGCCACACAAACGTTGCAAATATAAATATACAGTAAAATCTGTGATGTCATGTAGACCTCCGTAGGTTTACTTGACTGCGTGGATAGGTAATCGTTTGTTTAAAGGTTTCATCTACTCCCTTTTAACAGGAGACATGTCACAGTAGGAATAGCACAGGTGTGAATAACCAACTGAAGTCACTGTCACAACATGAATATAACAGCCATCGCTAATGTCATCAGTCACAACTTTTCCTATGACAAGTCAAAAGGTCTGTGGTGGAGAAAAAAAAGCCCATTGTCTTGTTACTATAACTTGCTGCAGTGTTGGATAAATCTCTAAATCTGTGTATTTTTATGGACTGTTAGGGTTTTTAAAACTAAATGACACAGCCCTGGTTTCCCCAAGAGAAGTGACCCCACAACTCAAGTCTTACTTTGTAATCTTCGTTCCATTCTTGAGCAACGAGACAGCAATAGTTGTGGTTTGTAATGTGTTGTAAACAAACCTGTACGTGCTGAAAAAATTACCAGTGTTTCACTAAATTACACCAACAACAGAGTTTGACAGGAAATTTGGAGAAACAAACCGTCTTTTGCCGTCTGAACGGATTTACAACATGCTCTACTTCCACCTGCACTCAGGCTTACACCTGGTTGACAATTAACTACAGTTACATTCAACTTCACTGGCTGGAAACGTCCTTTTCGGTCGTTCAGCCACTAAAGTTAGTGAGTAAATCATACAGTTTATTTTATTACATTAAACAGGAACCTTCTACCTCAGCTGCTGAACATAATATATCCCATCAGCCCTGTGTTTTGTTTTTGTATACATCCATCTTTAAAAAACGTGATGGTTCATCTCAAGGGGTTTATTCCTATAAAGATATTCCAGTTTGACTGAACTTTATCTTTGGCTCACACAGTTTCCTCCAGAATGTCAGACGCAGCCGAGCCCGTCACATCCACAGAGACAAAGGAGGCTCCCGGTCCAGATGTGTCCTCCTCGCCACCATCACCGTCTCCGCCATACCCCTACGAAGAGCAGCAACCTCCACCCTACTCTGCTGCACCGCAAATGTACCCTGACCCTAAACTCGAAACAGCAGGCACTGAGTTCATCGAAGATGTGGTCCAAGAAGCCCTGGACCCAGACACAAGTCCACCTATAACCTCATCCGCTTTTGACGACAAGACAGTGAGAAGAGCGTTTGTTAGAAAGGTTTGTACATTTATCCAGAAATAATATGGTGACTGATGACAAATACTTTTTGATGTGTAAACACTATATGGTGCATTCAGGGACGTTGTACTGCACCAGAATCTCTCAATCTGGTTTCAGGACCCTCCTAAGGGGTTGCAAGAGAAATGTCAGAAAACATTACAAATATATTTCCAGACTTTTCCCAAGTCTTTGCTTTTTGTCTGTAAATTAATGGATCATTTTAACCTGTTCAGGCTTCTAAATTCTTCTTTTAATAAGGAAACATTGCTTGTAGATGTACAATATGCAACCTGTGAAAAGAACACAAATTTGAGCCAAATCATGAAAAGCATAAAATCACCTCGATTAGAAAACTATTAATTGAGCACGTAGAGGTTCACTATCTGCGGTTCTGGTCATAATAACAGAATGCATCATGGCCGGTTCAAGGACAACAATGAGACTTCTACATGACAAGTTGCTCTGTTTTTTCCTGACCATAATAATACTTTAATTATATAAACACATATATTGTTACAATCTTTTGTGTCAGTAGGTTAAGTCTAGTTTGCATTCGTATTACCACCAGTTGGAGTGGCAGAAGAAGTTTCAACCACTGATCCATTACCTTTAGGGAGCTATTAGTTGTTTGTTTTTATGAACTCTTAATAGCAATATATGGTGTTGAGGTGTTACAGCTGACTAAGGTTGGCGGATGGTGTGTCCTGAACAATCAGCCTATTGTACTTGGTAGTTAATTGGTTATTATTGGTCATAATTTAACATAATCTTTCCATTTCCAACCGTGCAAAGTGTCAAAGCACATGGTTTTCTGGAGAGTTAGGCCAGATGTAGCGCAAGCTGTGATTATAAGTGTTCATTTACTGAATTGCTTAATCCATAAATGGTCACAAATTAAGTTTTACTCAGAAGCATTTGATCAGCTGCTTTTAAAATGTTTGACCTGAGCTTTTACAATGCAGAATATTTAGTCATTTTTTTACAATTATCTGTTTTGCTGTGCAGGTGTTCTGCATCCTGACTATCCAGCTGCTGTTCACCTTCAGCGTGGTGTGTGTCTTCACCTTCTCCAGTGCGGTCAAAAAGGTGGTGCAAAGACACCTGGCGGCCTACATCAGCTCGTTCGTCCTCTTCCTCGTGGTCGCCATCGCCCTCATCTGCTTCAAGTCCTTAAGTCGGCGTCACCCCTGGAACATCGTGGGACTGGTGGGTTACAAATACAGGAGCATGAATCTTCAAAAGTCTAATGGGGAAACTGACTTTACACAATATTGGATCCTGATACCTATATAAAAAAACACACAACAAAAGATTTAAATAGATTAAAAGGACAGTTAGAATATGATGAAAGAGTCATGGCTGTGTAGTTTAACCCCAGAGGTCACATTGTGGACAAAGAGGTGAAACAGTTAGGTAAAGTAGGCAGACTTAGCTAAATGTTGCTCAGTAAAAAACACTTTTTTTGATGGAAAAACTATTTAAAAAGTTGTGTGTATATGACAGAATCTATTCCAGTAAAGTAAAGATATTAAGTGGTAGCAATCAAGGGTACAATGGCATTAATTAGTAGTAGTTGTCTTCTTTCGTTTTTGTTTCCAAATGAAAACCACAGCTTCCTCTAAACTTGAGTTCACAGGCTAACAGTTTTACTTTCAGCCGTTGAGGTTGCTAAAATAGGACACACTCTTGCTGCATTGTGATGTGAATTGCACTAAGCAGAGCAAGACACAGACACAGTCATATAAAAGACTATGATGATTTTAAGACATAAAACAATCTGGGTCGTTTCTGTTTGAAGAAGAAGTTGTGAATCTATTAAAATTGTCCCTGAATAATATTCAAGATGTTTAATATGTTGAATTTTGTTGCCTATAGGTTCTGGTCACCATAAGCTTGTCATACATGGTGGGAACCGTCGCCTCCTTCCACGACACCAACGCTGTTGTCATCACTATGGGAGCAACGCTGGCCATTTCTCTTGCAATCATTATATTCTCTGCACAGGTCAGACAACCAGATATTTCTAAATGCTTCCTGTTTGCACTCAAAGCGATGTGCACACCTCAGTGGCTTTCTCTCTCTCAGCTTTGAAGTTACAGCTCTCAACTGTTTCCATATTTGTGCTGGAAAATAGCATCAAAAGAGGGTTAATGTGAAACGGTTAGTTGATTAATTGATAAGCTGCTTGACAGAAATTTCATCAGCATCCATTTTGATGTTTCTTGAAGAAAAAAATATTTGGTTGTCCAATTAAAAGATTTGAATTTTTTTTTATAATCTTTTTATAGCATTATAAAGTTAATATCCTTTCAGTCTTAGACTGTTGGTTGACTTAAACAAAGAAAAAAGACGTCACCTTGGGACACTTTTCAGTATTTTTTTTTATAATTTATACACTGAATACTCTGAAGATGAACTGAATATTAAAATGATTATAATCTAGGTGTTCTCTGATACAGGTGTTCTTACTCAGCTGTGTCCTCTGTACAAACAGCAAATAGACTTTAGACAATAAGACAACAGCTACATCCCTTTTTAGTTCCCGGTCTTATTAAAAAAGTGTTGAATTTAAGGAATTAAATTAATAAATTAAGAATTTTATCTATCATCTTCATTTACTAGTGCTACTGTTATCTGTGCTACTAGTGTGCATTAAAGAATAATAACTAGAATAAGAGTAAAAATAAATATTAGAAAAGGAAATAAACCATGAAAATGTATACAAAAAATGTCAAATGCATTTTTATTTGTTACTTACTTAAAAGTTGCTTTAATCAATATATGGACATTGTCACTGTTCATGAAATTAATGACCTTCTGTGTTATTTGCAGACTCGTTACGATTTCACCATTTGCTATGGCATTCTGCTGATTCTGCTTGTGGACTTACTCATGTTTGGGTTCTTCTCCACCTTCTACTACTCCTACATGGCTGATATCGCCTACGGATGTCTGGGTGCTCTGCTGTATTCACTGGTAAGTAAAATATTGTATCATAATAATAATACGACCATCTCAAGGGATGTGCAAACAAGACTTACACAGCACGTCTCTGCGCCCTTTCCCCATGTGAAGCTTCATCTTCGTCACTTCGGCAGGTTAAACGGTTCAATCACTGATAGATTTGACTTGACTTGTGTTGTAATGTTTTACAATTGTTTTATGTTTCACAAATTTAAGATTTTTAAATGCAATTTACCTTTTTACTGGTCAAAGAATGACGGAAAACCAGTAGGGACAATAAGGCCTACAATTAAGTCCACACATCTATTATTACATAGTTATATCACATTTGTGTCAATGCTTCCCTGCTGTATATAACAATACTACATAGTAATATAAGTAATACATTAATATGACCCAGTTACATGGCAGAAGATTGATGGGTGGGATAAGGTATTAAAAATGATCTACCAACTGATTTATCAACACTTTAATCAACAGCTTCCCTTGCTACTGTACCTAGCATTAGTGTTTGCTTCAGGTCTGAAAGAGGATCAAACAGCCTCTCATGCTTACAGTCCACTGTTGCACTTGTTTAACTTGTAGTTTATAGATGTACAATGTCTGCCAACAGCCTGCGACCACACACAGAAGGTTATTAACTAATGTTATTGTTAAAGGATCATATGGTATTACTGACATTAGACAGTTCAGGTTCCACTATAAACAATTATTTTGTGAGAAAAAGGAAGCTGCCGTGAACAAAATGCACACTTCCACTTCATTTACAGAACTTGTTTTGACGCTTAACCTCATGAAAACAAACAAGTGTGGAAAACAGACACATTAACCCACAGTGGAATTGTATAATTTTCCTTTACAGCACTTAACTTAAAGTATGACGCTACTACTCTTACTGCTATACTTTGTCTATAGTCTTTAGTGTCTAGGGATTAGATGTAAAAAGGATTTTAGATGTTAGAGACATTTTATAATGTATTTATATAGGATAAAATGAGTAACACCTAGTGAACAAGCTAAATATAGTATGTTACAGAAATGTCTGTATGTCATAAACTACAAGGAGTTATAGCAAATGTGAGGTATCACATTGGATTCAGAACAACTTCAATCACAATATGTGCTCTGATTCAGCGTAGATATTGTTTAATATGATAGTTAACATGTTAAATGTATGTTAAACTTGCCTTGCTTTTAAAAGAAATTCACCCTTGTCTATCAACTATGGCATGATAAATATGTTTGCCATGTGTAGCCACAAGTCTCAACAGTTTCCACACCTCTAACAGAAACATTTCAGTGGTTTTCTGAAGGTCTTTTTCCTTTAACATACTAAATATAACTGAGTCATTAATGGGTGAAAGGCCCTGCACTCCCACACAGGTGCTTTCAATAACTGTCAACAGAAAATTGATGACGATACACCTTCTTCACAGCTGCCATTTTGACATGAAACAGTAGGGCAAAGTAAACACAGGTGTTACCAGTGATAGAAATTAAAGTTCTGTTACAGGTGCTACTGTGCCTCTGCTACACTAAAATGCAACAGATCCTTAATTAGCATCACTGGTAACACTTGTGTTTATCCTACTATTTCATGCAACACTGACACTACTAATAACATTAATGATGGCTCCATTCATGAGTGTGACAGGATCCTGACACTGAAGCAGATAATTTGAATTCAGCCATCATTAATTTGATTAAATGTTTTCCATGAAAAAAAGCTTATTGTAAAACATGTGACTTATCTGACGCTAATCCCTCACCCTGTGCTAAATCTTCATCTCCTCCTCTCCCTCCCTTCCTGTCTGTCTCAGTTCCTGATGATCGACTGTCAGATGCTGATGGGGACGTCGAGATACAGTCTGGATCCAGAGGATTACATCAACGCCGCGCTCGTGATCTACCTGGACATAGTCCTCATCTTCCTCTACCTGCTGGGGAGGAGGTGAAAACCATAACATCCACATACCCAAACACACACAGACAGACACTCCAAAGTATTTCCACAATGAAAACGATCTTTATTATTGTTACTATTATTATGTTTATGCTGAAAAATATAAAATGATTGCGTACTGTATTTGTTGTTTTGCATTGCATGTCAACCCTTACAAGAATTTAAACTACTGCAACAAATGAAAACATTTCATTTCTAAGACACATTCAATAACATTTAAGTAATTATTCAGGACAAATGCTGATGTCCAACTAATAGATCCATAAGGCACAAAACAGGTGCAAACAGACACCAAAATGCAATGAATGTTACCACATGTATGTGCAATAAAATACAGATTATATTGATGAGGACATACACAATATAAAGCAACAAGGACAAAAAGTAGTGCAAAATGTTCAGCATATTTTTACTGTATCACATGGATCCATCCTCATCTTCTACCTTTACCAAAGCTTCAGCAGCCACACAGTTAATCTGCAGTCCCACTCTAATAAGCTAATATATTTTCCACAGCCCTCAGTGACATATTAAAATCGCTTGTTTTAGTCAACCAACAGTTCAAAACCCCAAAGATATCAGAGAAACAAAAGCAGAAAGTCCTCACACCTGAGAAGCTTTTCTGCTTTAACGTTTACACCGATTTTCAAAACAGTTTTAGGTTTAACGGTACGGTATCTAACTGCACATGAAGAGTGACTTGAGTGACGTTTGCTCCCTGGTGTTAGGAGACCAAATCCCCGTCCTGCCTCACCACAGTGAAGAGTAGTTGAACTTGATCCGCAGCAGGTACCTCATGCGAGTCTGGGCAGGGTTGTAAACGATGAACTCGTTGTACAGGAGGGAGTAACTGTTATGTTTGCCCACCCCTGTCCTCACCCCGGGCCCCATTGGCACGGTCACACCATCCCTGAGAGAGAGAGAGGGAGAGAGAGGGAGAGAGACAGGGAGAGAGAGAGAGAGAGAGAGAGAGAGAGAGAGAGAGAGAGAGAGAGAGAGAGAGAGAGACAGAGAGAGAGACAGAGAGAGACAGAGAGGGAAATACAAATTAAAAGGACAATTCTGGTGATTTTAACATGTTAGGTACAAATTGTCTTTCCTTTACAATACTTTTTCAAAACATACTTTGACATCGATTTCCTATCTTTCAGACGGTAACTAGTTTCAGTCCATGCTAGCACAATATGGAAATTTACCTGCAGAGAATTAAGACGAGCTTGAGATGAACTGAAACCAGCTGCTGCCAAGATGGCAGGAAATCAAATCTAAAAGATTATACAATGCTTGTTTGGCAGTAATGTGAAATATATTCATAAGTTAGTGCTGCATCTAACAAATAATTTCCATTATCAATTTATCTGACACTTATTTTCTCTATTCATTGATTAATCGTTGGGTCCAGCCTAGAGACCAAGATGTCACCTTCAAATACCCTGTTTTGTGTGACCAGTAGTCCAAACTCAAAAGATACTCAGTTTACAATCGTAGAAGACAAAGAAAACCATCACATATTCACACTGGAACCATAAAACGCTGTAGCACTGGATCGCACTACATAAAACTAGTGATGTTTCATGCTCAGATGATTGTTCTGTAATAAAAAAACCTGTATTTTTTCAGATAGTTAAATCTACAGAGGCGAGGCAGCAGAGCCGGAGGCAGAACAAATGAGAGTGAAGCAAGGTCAGTCCATTAGTGTATGAGTCACTGCAGAGCGAATAACATTTAATATTTTGACTTTTTAGTGGTTTTCCTCCGAACTGCTTCTCTCTAGAGTAAAAAAAAAAACATCTGGCATTTGTATGGCGTGCCTGAAAATGTCCCTAAACAAATACATATAGGTCTACATATTGTAGATAAAATAAATCTCACCCAACACCATGAAGATATTTGGGTCTCTGAGCTGAATGTATTTCTCTAAATGATGTGTGATTCTGACATAATAGGACTAAATATAATAATTAATAACTGTATTATTCTGTGAAATGAATGGCAAAACATCATTAATTGACATTATTTAGACACATGAACATAAAGGGAATTAGAAATTAAATTATTTTACAGTTAGCAGCACACATCACAAGTTACCAGTGATGATGGTTGTTTCGTTTGTTTTAACTATAAATCTCATAAGTTGTTTAAGAAAGGAGAAGTTAATAGTGATTCTTTAAGGGCTACTTATTATAATGTTTGTTATTGTATTTGCATTTTTCTTTGTGCTGAACCTGCATTTTGTTTTCCTTTCCTAATGTAATTAACAAACTGCCCCTCTCAGATAACGTAGTGATTTTTGTTGTGTAACAGTGAGCACAATTAAATCAATGTTTGGCCTGTATGAAATGTGTCAGTGTGATGAGACAGACTAACAGTGTGACAGCGTTTTTGGGGTCAGGTCCGGTCTGTCCCAGGCCTTTGGTGCTGTGTTTTCCAGGAGGAAGTTTGTCGGCCTCGTAGTCGGCATCCAGCAGCTCGTTACAGTCTCCCAGAGCGACCTGCAACCACACACAGACACAAAGCAAAGACCTGCATCACATCTGGGCCCAACATGTAATGTGATAGCTTTATTGTTTTTATGCTTTTTTACGCTAGTTTCTTCATTGGCAGCATCATTAAACAGTTTAGTTTTGAGTGGAAATTGAGGTGACAAATAGCAGTCCACTCTATAACTACAAGTTCTGAATAAAAACCAGCATAAAAACCTTTGTTCAATGTTTTCCACAGTCGTGCCAAACCTACTATACTCAATCGTGTGCTATAGATTGATAACACCCACATTAATTACAGTACATGAGTTATACTGGATGGCAGCCAACTCTCTTTATCAATAATCACACACCACTTTGTTTACTGCTGGTATATTCATTTATTTATGAGGCTTTATCTGCTATATGTTCATCAGATATATGGGCAAGCATATATAGCCATCCATGTAATTACACAAAAACCATCAAACGATTAGAAAATAAAGGTAAGAAATGGTTAAAAAAAAGGGTATTATCAAAATTTTCATAATAAATATTCCAATTTTAATATGCAAAGACCATGAATGCATTGATTGAAAAACACAAACCAGTCACATCTCATTTTAAAGAACCTAAAAAATTATGATGAAGTGTTGAATGGTTGCCTTTTTCCTAGAATCCAGTGTGCAGACATCATAGAAATTGTTGTCCTTCACCTGGCCTAAATATAGGACGGGATGTGCATACAACTACCTCTAAAACGTCCTGATTGTTGCCACAGCAAACAAATTAACTCACCTCACACAGTAGCAGCAGTCCAACGTGGTTGTTCTGGTTGGCAAAGCAGTAGTTGGCACTCTTTGACGACATGTCAGCAAAGTAGATACCTTTTCCAAACTAGATGAAAGAGAAACAAAGAAATTATTATCACTGGGATAAAAAATCTATTGCTGTATTGAAAACAATCTTATAGTTTATACATAATTTAATTCCAAAGTGCTGAAATCATCATCTGTTAATAATCAATAACATGATTTTCCAAAATTTGGCTCATTACTTTTTTTTTTAAAGCAGAGGGTTTGGAGACAAAATCAAGTCACGAACAGTATATGAATGTATTTTTCTGTCCGCCCTACCATGTAACCAGTGACGGGAGCTTCAGGTGGGGCCACTCGGAGCCCCTGACTGAGGATGCCGACCCAGTTAGAAAGGCGGGAACCGTGCCACAAGAGAGTCCTGGCAGACACACAGACATAGTGGACTCGCTGTCAGACATTACGCAGGCTGATATGGAACAAAAACCAGTAATGGTATAAGCCTAGAGGTGTATTGACTATTCATACAAATACTAAGCAGCACTGTGTGTTACCTGTTGTGCAACTGTGAGAGGAAGTTGTTACTCTCGCCGCCTCTGTCCACCGAGAAGATGTCAAGGACAGTCATGTTGTAGTCAGAATGGGTGGGGGCGTGAGTGGACTGTAGAAACTTCTCTACCACCTTCACACAGAGAAGAGGAAAGTTCAGTTTGTGTTTCTCAACAATTAAAATCAGTGTATAGGGAAATAAATAAAGCCATTTAGTAACCAATTCCCAGTCATAGAAGTAGATGCAGTGCATTGTGGTCTATTAAAGGAACATGTGTCTTGTACAGTGGACACGAAGACAGCGCTACAAAGAAGATTTTGCTGTTTGATGCACCACTGACATTATAGATACAGATAAACGTATGTAAGTATTAGGGATGCACAATTAATCGCAATATTATGGGAATTTGCGATATGAAAGCTGCAATTTATTGTTAAAACAGCTTTATAATGCAGTTCTGCAGTGATGTCCTGGCCTACGAATCTTGCTTTCCAGATGTAAGAAAACGTGTTTGTTTGGTACAGACGCTAACAAATGTCACATCTTCATGATTTTAACAGTTTTCTTCAGTAAAAATTTATATTGTGATGCAAAAATGATCATTCCTGCTAATTGTGAATCATATCCAAATCACAATATCGGTCAAAATAATGTCAATATGATGTTTCTACCATATTGTGCAGCACTACCAAGTATGCAAGTATTATTACGTTACATTGACTTACATATAAGATTATAAACATAATACTGTTAGATTTTGAGGAACAGTTTTGTAAGTGGATTATATCAAGTTGCCTCGGATGATTTGATGATTTTGTTACAATATGACTGAACAAGAACAAATAGATCTATCATAAATCATACCAACTAGGTTTGGGGAGCAAACTGAGTGTTTGGCCTCGCATCCATCAATCCTGTCTTTTCTGATTTAACTGTCATGATACGAATCCAGTGCTTAGAAACACAGACCTTGTACTCATTGGTGGCGGAGTCCAGAGGCTGCAGTTGGCACTGGAGGGAGCGGTACTGTCTGTCCAGAGGATGTTCGTCACTGTCATTACTGGACTGAACCATTTTCACTGCTATCTGAATGTCGCTCAGAGCCTTTAAAATGAAACGAGACAGAAAAAAGTATTGATAATATAGTATGGACAACAGATTTAAGTGAAGACATAAACAGAATAATTGGAGTTAATTAATGGAGAACCTCCTTACCTCCAACAATGATATTTTTTCCTTAAGCTCGGCTTCTGATCGAATCATTGGAGGAGTTTTCAACCTGGAGAATTAAATGTTTAAGTTACAACAAGACAGAAGTCAATTCAGACATCATGTTTTTCCAACAGTATTATTTAGAGCATTTCTCTGCAACTGCACAGCCACATATTCCTCACCCGAAGTCATGAGGGATGCGGGTGTAGAACTGGTTACATGCTTCCAGCAACTCACGACTGCTGCCCTTCTTCTTCAAACACTCCTCGATCTTCTTCAGTGCCGAGTAGCCTGCGCGGATCTGCTCTGAGGTCAGCTTGCCTGCAGGTAGAAAGAAAAATATTGAATTTGAAATGTGAAGCACAACCATACTGGTTACATGTTCTACTCATATAGTCAGGTTTTTTTTTTTCACAATTTCACAAGCTGAAACGATGACTTTAAGAACTTGTTTTATTGCATGTTTGGATCAAAATGTATGTGTATAATTAAAATAAATTAAATTCGGGGCTTATTCATAAATTAAAAGAGTATAACAGGACACATTTAGATTCTGTCAGACTGACCGAGAGGAGCTTTCCTGGTGTCAAACTTCATCTCCAGCACACACTCCTCCATCGCTTTGAGGTCACAGATTAGCTCCAGGAGCGACTGGATCTTCACATCCAGTGTGGAGGTCCTCTTTTTGGGTACAGCATCCACTGTGGTCTGGTTCTCCTCCTGGAAACAGTGAAATATATCCATGTTCATAATAATAGAGTTCAAGAGTTCAGGTACTGATTACACAGATACTGAGGGGGTATTTACCTTTTCATTCACACTGTAGTCCATAAACACCATGTCATATTTTCCAGCTACTTTCTCAAAACTCGCTCGGTCTTCCCACTCATTCTTGGTCTTGTCAAGGAACCTGCGGCAAAACAATACAGAATTTTACTAAACTTGCTTCAGTGCGAGGCGATATATTTGTTTTAATTGCACAATCTC